CCTCCCTGTCAGCAGCTTGTGGAACCCAGTTGCCTAAGCGATCTAAGGACTCCCATGCAAGCTGTATCCAGCGCACAGAATCCGGCCACCGACCTCGGCGTCTACGAGTGGAGTCCCTGGTGAGCAGCCAATCCGCGTCTCGAAAGCTGATGACACGGGTAATAGGGCGCCAATCGAAAACACTATACCGGGCTGCGTGCCCCCAATAACGAAGGAAACACGATGCCTGTCCTATCGCCCAACGAACATGGCCAACGGCTTGCATCGCCATTCTGGTGGCTCTGCGTCGACAGACCCAATTGTCCAGTTTAGGCTGAAGGGGGTCGTATGCGGGACGCAGCATAGAAGATACCAAGGTAGTCTGCAGGACGTCTAACAGCCTAGACACCTCGGTGATCGGCCGCACCGCCGCTGACATCCACTTCCACTTATTCGTGACAAAAGCGTCAAAGAGGTGGAGACGCTTCTGCAGGGGCGAGGAGCCTCGGCACAAGAAACCGCTATGGGCCCAGAACGCATTCGTGGCAGCTGCCAGTCTCCTGGAGAGTACAGTCGCACAAGACAGTCTGAAACCTATTAGGATTCCGAGGTAGATGAAGGCCTCGGTGTGCTTAATTGCAAGTTCCGAGGGAAACCCGTCGGGAAGCAGCGGGGAGGTGTCTTGTCCTGGCGTGCAAATAAACTGACACTTATCCAGAGCGAGCTGAAGCCCGATGGCTTGAAGCGTCGAGCGTATGTCCTGTAACATGCCAAGGGCTGCCTCTCGAGAGGGACAAAGCAACACAATATCGTCAGCGTACAAAATAGCGTGCATCATGACCCCTCTCGCGTCTTGAAGCCAGGTCGGAAATCTATCTCTCCAACGATGTAGCGTGGGGGACACGAAATGGTCAAGAACACGGGCAAAGATTTCGGCGGAATAAGAAGATCCTTGTTTGACCCCCTGCAACAAGTCCTGGCACCAATGTTCAGATCCCATGGAAAGGCTTGCAACCGAATTACAAATTATGGTGAGGAGCAAGTATGCTTCAACAGAGGGACCCAGTGTCAGGAGGAAGCGGCTCACGGCCGCATGTGATAGCGTGTCAAACGCTTGGGCTATATCCAATTTGACCGCATACAGCGGTAATCGCCACTGCTGTGATTGCCTAACAGCATGTTGGAGGGCCAACGAGCCATCAAGGCTCTGGGCTCCTGGCGCACCTGAGAGCTGGCAGGATGTCATAGGAGGAAAACGAGGGCGGAGTCGACAGAGGAGGAGTTTAGTGAAGAGTTTGCCAGGAGTAGAAGAGAGAACGATAGGGCGTAGATCTTTAGGCTTGCAAGGAGTTTTAATTTTCGGCAAAAAGACGACCTGGGACCGGAGCCAGGAGTTCGGGATGGGCCTAGACCCGTGGAGAACAGAGTCAAAAAAACGACGAAAGCTGGTTTCGAGGGGAGACTGAAGGATTGAGTACATAAGCTCGTATGGAATGCCGTCAGCCCCACTGCTCTTGCCAGCCTTGGTAGTCCCAAGAACATCCTGCAGCTCCTGGGCTGAAAAAGGCTCAGCATTGGGGAGCTCGCCGGCAGACTCCTTGTACAATGTAAGGGGTAGGTCACGAGGTTGTAAGTCTGCAGGCGTGTACTTACGTTTGTAGAAGGACTTGAGATCTTGGGATGCTTTTAGTTCGCCACCAGCTCGCATCATGTAGCCTCCTTGGGCCGCCTTAGTGCTCTGTCTCCGTTTAAAGAAAGACACCGCATGGTAATCTCCCTTTGAACCTCTCTCTAGGAGAGTCGAGAACCAGGATTTCTTAGCGATCGCTCTGGCTGCGGCCACATTGTGTGCCAGTTGCCTGGCTTCAGCTCCCGTCGCCCGTCGGCGGGCCGCAATGAGAGCCTTGATCTCCGGACCGTCCCTATACCTTAATGAGCTGGGGCGGAAACACACCTGAGCGGCTAGACTTTGTAGGTGGCGCTCATCAAGGTCCATGCCGTGTAATTCTAGCTGCTCCTGCAGAGCTACACAGAAATCCGGTGCAGTTTGCAGGTTCACTCGCCATTTACCGCACTTTGTGGAGTGGTTAGCATACCTTGCAAAACGACATGACGACTTAGTGCGTTGCAACTTGAGGCCAGCAGTGCAGCATCTGTGATCAGTTTTAAGCAAGGAATCCGACCCCTCAAGAACCTCAGAAAGGACAAGAGACTGCAGGCCCTGCGAAAACAATACGTAATCGATGCGGGACGTCGCCCCGCGGGTATTCGACCACGTGTGCTTGTCGGGGCATGTTCTGAGCAGCCCAAACTGATGCATAAACCCATCTAGCATGACTCGACGGTCGTCGTTCTCCGAAGCAGCGAGCGAGGTCAGATCTAGGTTGAGATCGGCCATGACAGTAATTGTGTCCTGAAGGCGAATCCCGTCAAGCAGCCCCCGGAGTTGTTCCAGTTGCTCCTGCCACAGCTGCGAGCAATCGGTCCTTTGTCGATGGGGTAGATGCAAACTAATTATGAATTCCTTGCAACCAGCATTCTTAATTACCACAGCCAGACCAGTTAAAAGAGGCTTGACTTGAATTACATGCCGCAACGAGTCGAGAGGAATGCCGACTATGGTGCCGTGAAAACTCTGGGGGGGGAAAGTGGAGAAAATGGCATAGGAAGATGAGCCCAAATGGACTTCGTCTTGTTCCCATCCCATGTGAGCGAGTTCTTTCAAGCCGCCCACTTCCTGAAATGCAAAAAAATCGATCCCCTCACCACCCAGCAAATCCCAACATCCTGAAACGTCCTCGAGGGTTTTACCGCGAAGATTCCAGGTACGCATGTACGTGACATGTGCATGGCAGGGCGCGCGCCCCTATGGGCGCTTGGTGATGCGGGTCTCCCAACGCTCCGGAAGGCTTTCCGAAGTGAGACCTGTGGCCTTGGTGAAAGCGGCCCCTTTGATATACCAGCCTGAGTGGTTACCCCTCGCGTCTGAAAGGGGGAAGTCATCGTCCTGCAGGGGATCGGCCGAATCGGGAGAGCCCAACACATTGATGTTACCAACGAAGAGCTTGCCTCGCCAATCGATCTCTGCCAGGCGTTTGGTAAACCCTTGTGCAAATGTTAATTGCTCGATGAACTCCTTAACCGAGACAATGGCCCGAATCTTTGCACGGTCTTCGGGAGTTCGGTGTCTTTGCACCCATAGCTCTCTACACTCTTGCCCGGGAATGTTGCTGAGAAACTTCTTAGATTTCAGTTTGTCCAGAACCTGTGTTTGAAAGGCTCGCTGCTGGGGAACGTTCTTACAGTTGTCGGGGAACTGCAGGGTAACTCGGACATGGGAGGTACGCGAGTACGGGCTCCAGATGTCGAGCCAGGACTTCTCAAGCTGCATGGCCTCAAAAAACGCTTTGGCTTCCTCAACCGCTTCATCCCTTCTAGCGTCTTCCCAGCCCCCAATTGCCAACTGCAATTCCTCGTCGATGTTTCGCTCACTCCTTGGACTGCTCCCTCTGGGGGAAGGGGGGGCTCTCTGGGGTGTCGGTGAACGCGAGGCAGCCCTCAAGTCTCTCACTTCTCGTTCAAGGGCTGAAATGCGGAGGTGGTGAGCTTCGCCCCGCTCAGTATGTTCTTTGAGAACTGCATCATGAGTGTCAAGTCGGACTTTATGGCTTTGAAGCTCGGATGTAAAATGAACCATCTCACGATGCATGTCGAGATGCCGGACGTTCATATCTGAAACGTCCTGCTTGATAGGTTCAAGTTGCGTGAGGAGTCTGCCTTCCAAGGCTGCCACCCAAGGGGGGGTCTCTTGATCATAGGGCGTGGCTCGCTCTCTCTCACGTTCTCTCCGAGACCGGAGCCCTGTCGTTAGGACAGGGGGGGCAGCACTCTTCAATTCGTCGTCGTTGTCTTCCTTTTTGACTGAGAAATCTGGATCGATGTCGAAAAACTCTGGGCCTCCTCCACGCCTGTTTGGGCCACCGAAACCTGGGGCCTCGAGTCTGGCGAGTTTCGAAGGGGGAGGTTTTCGGGTCGAAGAGTCGCTACCCGAGCTTTCTCTGTCGTTCTTCTTGACCAAAAGACTCTCCAAGGCACTGACATGATGTCCAACCTGTCCTCCAGCCGTGATCGCTGTCTTCGGTCCTGGAATGTGCTCCTCCAGCGATTCCCTCGAGGATTTATCACGGCTCCTGGCAGGCACCGGGACAGGCCCGGTCGATACCGGTGCTTCGCCAATTCCTCCGGCGGCATTTGAGTCAGGAGAGGGGGTACGGTCTCCGGATGGCCCCTCATGGTCCCCTTCATCGTCTACCTCAATGCTATGGTCAGCAGCTGTGTCAGCGGGAAGCCCTCGTGCTGTTATTCCGAAAGGAACGGTAGTAGCCTGGCTGAGGGAGACTGGGGGGGCCCGTTCAGCTTCCTCCGTGCGGGCAGAATGCCCTGAAATCATCGTCTCACTGTTACTCTAGTCACGCACACGCGCCCTGGGGACTAGGAGAGTGGGAGAGAAGAGAGAGGATGAGAGGGAGGTAACGAAGCTGAAGGCCAGTGTTTCGAGCCGAGAACTGTAGCCATTTCCGTTAAGGTTTAGGGAGTTTAAGCGCGAAAAAAGGGGCCTTAACAAATTGAGATGATGTTTCGGCAGCATGTTCGTATACTTCTAGGGGGCCATGAGGGAACACCCAGACCATTTTTCCGACATGTCCTATACTGCTGTCCTCGGGTCTGTGTGATGCGGGCACCCACCCGGCTTGACAAAACTATGCAATGTGCTCAACGCAGCCATAAGCCCTAATTACTTACATATTTCAGGATTCCAGTCATACTCGGTTGATGATAAAAATCCTGCATTACCTTGAGGACCCTGAACTATGAGAACAATGGCATATTCCTTCCTATTGGTAGCGCAAGATTTATATCATCAGCCGTATCATTACAATACCTTTCAACCGGTCAAACCCTGAGTTCAGATCAAGTCTGGAGCAAACATCACAGAATCCTATTGGAAGTCACCGAGCGGCCCGCCACCTGCATCGGCACGGCTCATGCATGCTCTGTTGTTTTAAGGACCGCTTGCACTATAGGAGCCTGAATGATGAGAACGGGGCTTGCGAGTCGAGTTCCATTCTGCTGTAATCATAATGAGGAGCCCTAAGGAATCATGTTCGCAACCGTTCAGAGTTTTTAAACTATGGGCTTACCTTAGTAAAAATCAACTTTACAGCCTGCACCCAGAAAGAAGTGAACTTCGAAGATGCTCTGTGATGCTCGCTCCGCTGCACGGAGGGTGTAAGGGGAAAACAGCTCCGCTGTCAGTGTGTGGGTTTTGCTTTCCCTAAGCCGCAGAACAGGCGAACAGGCCATGCACAGTAGGGCCCTCGGCTCGGAGAGTCGTGAATCATAGATCCTTAGAGCCCTTGGGCTTGCGATTTGGTAAGTCGTGCCAGCGGTCACAGTGCTGTTCGGCTAGAGATTAGGCCGATCGAACAATGCATGCATGTGCTTGCAGTGCATTTCGTCATGCACGCAGGCATACCCACCATGACTGTTGTCTGTAGTTCCACAGTAGCTCTGGCACCTTGCAACGTGAACAATTGCCAGACCCAGTTCCCTGTAAGACATTGTGAAGACAAAGGTTGAACTTCAAAACAATAGGCTCCCTCTGTGTGGCACTGGGTAATTTTCTATTTATAAGGAACCCAAGAACCCAAGATCACGTATAAGGTTCTGTATCGCGTCGTCTTCTTTTCCTAGGCTTCCCCATTAACCCTGCGGTCTGCTCCAGCTATGGAAGCGTCTATGTTGCAATGCTCGAATTGTATTGCCGGCCAGACCCTCACTTACACAACAAGACACTCTAAGTCCAAAACACATCCGAATTTTTACCCCGAGCCCCTCCCCCTTATCGAAGCCTACGGATAAAAACAACAACCGTATACAGCCCTTACAAGACCCTTGTGCCCTTCTAAAAACCCCTCTCTTACCTTTGGTTAGTAGGGAATGGAGGAATGGTAGTAATAGTAGTACCCCTCCATTCCCTACTAACCAAAACCAAGCTCTGCGCCTTGTGAAACTTGACGAAGAGCGAGTGGGTCGCAATCTTCGGCGAGGTCGCGGCCGAGGTCGTGACTTCGGCACCGAGGTCTCCGATCTTCAAGGCATGCTGCAGGAAACTGACATCCTGGCTGTCCTTAGTAGCCATATAGCACAGCGGATCATGTATGCAATCAAAGAGGGGCGGTATGTATGTATATATATATATATATATATATATATATGTATCTAGATATTTACTTCGGTATATTTGTATGTATTTCTTCATGTATGTACAATATGTATGTATCTGCATACATATGTATATAGATATATATAATTATATATATCTATATATATATATAGATATATAGATATAGCCAGGTTTGAGTTCCGTTTGTCATTATTGTTGCTATTTCTTTGCATGGGCGAGAGGGCCGGCTTCGGCTGGCAAACTGCCTGGCGCATCACTGCCTTGGTTCCTGGTGCGCAGCGGTAATTGCAACTGCCCCTAAACCTCCAGGCGAGAGGCCTACTCCCAGAGTCCTTATGAGCCTTTTTCAGCATAAACAGGGAACCCGTCACCCTAAGCCCCGACATGTGTAACCTTCAGCCGCTAAGACAGACCTGTGACCTGGGCTAGACCATTGGACCACGATGCCACGGTGCAGATGTCTGGACAGGTGATAGATGTGCAGAGCCCGCTTCAGGAAGTTGAGAATGTTCATGGTTCTTGTCAACCCCTAGCAGTTTAGGTATTCGTTAGCCCTACAACGAAATGTTGAAATACGGCTGAATTGAACTGAAATTGAAAGGAATTCCAAATCCTGAAACCAGGCCGCTGTATAACCTGTCGGTTTTCTTGTGCACAAGATATGGTCAGAATTTCACAGTTCGAGCTTCCACAGGCTCCGGTCACCTACACTAGACTCCGGAGCCACAGTTTAAGGTTCCAGGAATCCGAGGGTTTGGGGCCAACGGGTTTGCGGCTTAGGTCCTGTGCATAAGAGCGATCGGTCTGCTGGGCTTCACCTCCCGAATATCTAATCTCTATCCCTAGAAGCGTGCTGGCTTCTAAGGGCTTAGGTTTAGGGTTGAAGGTTTGAGGGTTCAGAGCTTGGGCATGTTTTGGTTACCTTCAGGTTTGTGTAGCCTGTATTTACCTGCTTGTCCAATACCCTACGCGAACTAAAGGTTAACAAAAGGTTAAAGGATGTTAAAAGTTGATATAGGGGCCTTGATGATTAGAATAAGGTTTAGGGCTCCATTATACTACAAAAATAATGAGCCCCCGAAACAGTATTGGGAATTATTTACGCCCCTATATTACCGCCTTTAAGTTTAACTCCGAAAGCCTAAACCCCTAAACCCTTTCTCCTAAACCCCCAACCCTAAACTCTTAACCTCACTGCCTACTAAACTCTTAACCTTAACCCCACTGAAGCCTCAGGCCGAAGCTCCTCACAAGTCTCAGCTCGGGCCAAAAGCAGCCAGGCTGAGGCGCGCAGCACGGAATGGAACATGGAGGGCAAGGTCGGGGTTGAGACCTTGTGTCGTTTGAGTAAGCGAAACGGCTGCGAATGCACAAGTTGTTTGGGCTTCTGGTGTTTTTGGATCTTGATCGGGGTTTGGAGGGATTAACCTAATGATGGCAATGTAGGGCGGAGAATACTCTACGGTAACTCTACGATTGACACATGTTTCCGATACCACAGACCCGGTTTTAGTTGCGGGGCCTCTGCCACCCTCCCCACGCCCAACCTACTGGAACACAGCTCACCAACATGAAATCTGCATCCCTGTGTCCTACACCCTAGACCTGTACTCTAGCAGTCCCAAGGAGCATTGGCGATTTTGTTGAAGCTCAGGTCCAGCTCCTGAGGAAGCGGGGTGCATAGCTCTCTAGGCTCTCTCGGCTTCCTTTCAGTATCAATGAATGACGAGGCCTTGAACAGTTAATAAGGTTGTGGGATAGCTTAGAAGAAGGCGTATGGAAGGACTGTACAGTGAAGGGATACTGCTACGAAGTATTCCAACCTCCATAATAAGGTCCTTGCGCTTTCAGACAGGTACTCCATATGGCTCTGTGCTTCTCATGCATAGTGCTCCTCGTTGTTTACTTAAGTTATAGGGCTCAGAGTGTATGAGCCGGAGAGAAGATTGTAGGGTCGATCACATGTCATGTTTCTATTGAATGTGGTTGCGCACCACTACGCTGATCGCGAGCAAACTGCATTGCGACGTGTGTATAAACCGCCCGATCCAAATAGACTTGCGGTCTGCAAGGATAGCTGCGTAGAACTTCATGTCACTCCAGGCTCAGCGCAACGGCTTGGACTAATTAGAAACTGTGGAAGCTTGAAATCCCAGCTCCAAGCCTTTAGCGTTCAATATTAGCTTCTTTGCGGGCTTCGGCATCTGGACATTCAAGACGCAGTCCATACAAGTGTGATGTAATCAACATACAACAATGTTGTAAAAATGCTCGTTGAAATCGAGACAATGTATTAGATAATGGAATATCGTCTCTCAGAAAAATCGTTTTGGGTTCAAGGCTTCGTTCCTACCTAGCTGCAAACCACGAGCAATTCAACAAGCATAGGGTTTCGTAGAGGACCTCAACAATCTTAAGCCGACTGTTTACCGTGCCTCGGCTCTTGAACCACTTGCAAAACGGGCATACGCCAAACACAACTGCTGCCGGTCTACTCTGAGTGTATAGATTCGGAGCTATCGGAGCTTCACTAGCCCGTTCATTCATCAATCTAGCTGTTTGCTTGTTTCGTCTATGCATGTTTTGATATTTCATAGAACCGCTGTTGCGTGCCATTGAACAGAACGAAAGTTTGCACCGCTACTGCACGAGTTTGCCTCTGCAGTCTAGCGGTCGGGGGCTAATCGTTAGCATGGTCTGGAGTGGAGAACTGGTGAAAGTGCGTGAAGCGGTTTAGGGTATAGGGTTTAGGGAATCAGAGTAAGGCTTGTATACCACATCAACACTGGCCTACCATCACTCGTAAAAGAACGGCTGCGCAGAAATTTGAAACCCTACACATGCTGCAACCGCAATCCTCTCAAGCCGCAACCCTAAGCATTGCAAAGCCACACACAACACCCAACCCCGAACTACCCTCAAACCCGAATATACTCGAACCAAAATCCCTGTAAAATATCCTTAGCCCCCACAAGAGCAAGCCCAGAGTTGGTGCCTCCATGTTCAAACAGCGGGGCATTTGCTCGGCGATGTGCCGGGCCTGAGCTGAGAAAAAGCGCAAGAGAACCAGCTGCAAACTCCGCTGGTGCTTCGCTGGAGCGGCAAGACCCAGACAAGGGCCCTAAGCAACAGCCTTTGAATGGAAGATAGTTGCAATAGTTCATGTTACATTGCGTCGCATGTAGCATGTGTGCCAATCGTGGTTTCATGTTTTGCAGCTCCTCCCAAGCCTGATTTGGCATCGGGCTTGCCTCGTTGGTCGGGAAGCTCCCTCTGCTCAGAATGTGTCAAAGCAGAGACGACCCTTCGTGTTCGTGCCAGTCGCTTCAGGCTCTCGTATGATACAATATCGGGGGGGGCCCTCAACCGCGATCTCCACACCGAAACCACCGCATAAACCCTAAAGCTCGGGCAGAAAACCTGAAGCGTCATGCCTTCAAGTTCTGACCACGCAGATACTTGTTGCCCGGAATCCCCAGACCCAGAAAGATGGCAGCTAAGCCAAACCCCTTAAGCCCTAACAACCGAAAAACAAGAACATAAGGTCGCAGGAAAGGCTCGCCGACGTCGCCGACGCGATTCGACCGCAGCGTGATCTGCGCGAGGGAACTGCAGGCTGCGAATGCCTCCTTGAACGGTATAGGGTTTAGGGATGCGTATAGGAGTCTTGGGGGCTTCGACGCTCACACTCGCGCGATGCAGGCAAGGCTCCACGTTTAAGGGATCAGGGTTTAGGATCGAAGTTTAAGGCTCAGGGTAATCATGGTTTATACCAAACCCTAGATTTTTGTAGGTTCTTATTTTGAACCCTAAAATGGAGTTTATAGGGACCCTGCAAAAAATAGGGTTTGGTGGGTTAAGGTAACTAGTTCATGTCATGGTTGGGATAGGATTTATAAATTGAAATATTATTCCTTATTGGGTTTCAAGTACCCACAAAAATATAAAACGATACCCAACTATGACAAAGGTAAGGTTTACAAGGTTCAGTGGATGCTTCGGGTGGAGACCTTCGGGCCGCTCAGGGCTTGGCATCGAGGGATTCGAGATACTCTTGATGATATGAATCCTCGGGTTCCTTTAAAGGGATCTATAAGGGTCCCTTTAAGGGATCTATAGGGGCTTTAGGGTTAAGGGTTGATGATATAAAACCTGCACTACCTTAAGGACGCTAAACTATGGGAATAATGGTAGATTCCTTAGTATGGGTACGTAACGCAGGATTTATATCATCCACCGCATTGTGGTGCGGTTTAGGATCTAGGGGCCTTTTCTCCCTCCTACCTAGCAAGGACGAAGCCCGACTGGGGTTCAGGGTTTCGGTCTTAAGATTCAAAAAGGGATCAGCACTTGAAGAGTTCTCTATCTCTCTCTCTCGCTCTCTCTGTCTCTGCGCCATCTCTGGGTCGAAGCATGGGCCAAATTCAGCCTTGGGTCCAGCGGATTGAAGGTGTATAAGTTCGGCCTTCTCTCACTCTCATCCTATTTAGGCCAAGACGCAAAGAGCACTCTGCAGCCCTCATCAGCGACACCGTTTCCTGAGCAGCCCGGGCCACAGGCCGAAACATTGCTTACAAGCTGGTGGTTGCAGGCATCATGGTAGCTTGATTGGTTTCGGCATGGCCCCCTAGATCTTGCTTCTGACATCCATCCGGCTTTTACCAGTGTCAAAGCCTAACTTGCCTGTGGGCAGTTGCAAGTCGATGATAGCTTCGGCCGGCCACTATTCAACAGGACACAGATTCGCACGCAGCTTGCGGAGGGCCTTGTCGACGTGCTCAGGTCTACAGTCGAATGAATTCAGTTTAAGTGGCGCAGGCCTAGAACTCCGAGTCCAAGGACCAAAGCACTCCGATCTTAACTTTTCCAGTTCAGTTCACAGAATGACTAGCCCGAGGGGAAAATGTGTGTTGCAAACCCTAGATTGTGTGCAAACCCTGCTGCCAGATCTTATTGTCGATACTCGTTCCCTAGAGCAAAGCTATCAACTGCAGGCTTGCAAATCACCAACTCATCCAAGTGTCCTTCCAGCTCCTGGGGCAGCGGGGGCATGATCTGCTGGAACTTGCATGGGGCTGATACTTAAAATTAACCTACCAGTACGCACGAGAGCATGTTTTCCCTGACAGTTCTAACCCAATGTCAGAGCCCATCCTCTGCAAAAACACCCTGCGCATCGTCAGCAGCATCAACACCACCTTCAACTCTTCAACAATAGCAGCCTCAGGTCATGCTCACGATAGTGATGGTGAAGCCGGTGATGTTCATCGTCATCGTCATAATTTTCCACCCGCATGGCGAACGATCTTGTAAAAACTATACTCGCTGAAGTGCTGATTTTGATTCTGCTGCTGCTGCGGATGCTCCTAAAGGCTAAACCTCAAAACGCCCAACATGATCTTGGTACCCGGTACAGCTGGGCACAATGAAACAACCACCCCGGAAAGTCATGGTACGATTCGAGAGCCAGGGATGGGTCAAACCACAAGCAAGATGACAATAGTCGTACGGTTGATGATATAAATCCTGCATTATCTTAAGGACCCTAAACTATGAGAACTATGGTATATGCCATATTATGGGTCATGCAGGATTTATATTATCAACCGTAGTAGTCCTGTTTAGTATTGGCAGTTCAGATCAGAACCGGTCGACTTGCGGGCACATTAGGGCTTCCGAAATTGAAGCCTGGGTTCTCTAACTTCTGCCCCGAAACCACGTCCCTAGCCCGATGCTGTTGAAGCGGAGCTACTTGCGCTAGAACCCTGTACTCTCGGCCCCATACACCCATTACTTTCAGGCTCTGCGGACAAGGGAACTATGTTGACGAGGAGATGGCACGCCTCGACAGGGAGCTGACTGCGAAGGGCAGCCCTATCGTAGAAAGCCCACTGTCCTTGACCTTTGCATTGAAGTCTTTGTGCTTTACAGGCTTCAGTGCATGTGCGCCGCAAACCCCACAGCCTGATGATCTCAGCCCTCCTGGACCTATGGACATTCCAAGACGTAGATCCTTTCTTTGGCGACGATATTCGTGAAATGTAAAGTTTCCTGCCGCTAAGGAAGGGGAGGGGGACGGAACACCTTTCCAAGATCAGATCAGGGCTTCGGGATTAGAGTCTTAGAGTGTACTTAAAGGGTCACGGGACTTAGTAACTCGGGTTATAATTAGGGTAACTATACTTACAATTACTTATAACCCCAATTAGGGTACTTATATCCCTTCTTACTAAGTCCCATGATCCTCCAAGTATCAAATAGCCCCGAGCCCTAGGAAGCAGCAGCCGCAGGACACACGCCACTTAAACCCAAAGACCTCAAAGTCTAAACCCCAACGGCTACCCTGCGTTTTAAACTCTTCCAAAATACCCCAAACCCTAAACCACCCTAGCCTATAAACCCTAAACCCCTATAAACCCTAAACCATCTAAACCCTAAAACCCTAAACCCTAAATCCCAAAAACCCTAAACCGCGATAAACCCTAAACCATCTAAACCCTTACCCCTTTAAACCCCAGGAGGCGGCGGCCACCTGCACGGCCAAGGACAAGTCTGCCGCCGCAGCATCACCCCAGCCGAGGTCACAATACACCTTGCTTTAAAGATCAGGGATCCAGGACCCTAAGCCCAAAACCCTAAAGGCCCTAAACCCTAAACCCCTAAACCCCTAAACCCAAAACCCTAAAGGCCCTAAACCCCGCCGTAAAGCCTAAATCAAGACTTTGGGCTTTCGGAACTCCAGGTTTACAGGGCTCTAGGTCTGAAAGATTTTGATGATACCTGGCACATGGGCATAACCACCCTGATCGTTTGAAGTGTTTGGACGCAATAAGGCATGTGTAATGTGTAGGGTTTAGGGTGCGCTCCACATCGCACCGATCAGGCTAAGCACCACACGACACTCTAGCCGGATGGAGCCACGCTGAAGGGCAGACTGCGTGTGAACTTCGCTTTGGCGGCTTGCAGCGTTCCATTGGGGTCAAGATTGATGGTGGAGGCTAGGGCTTTCGATTAAGGTTGGTTTAGTGTGGAGTTCAGGGACACCCTGTATGGGAGTTGCAGACAATTGGGCCCAAATACTAGGAGCCTCAAATCTTGAGCATCCCCTGAACCCTGGCGCGGCACCCGAAACCCCTCATCCTGACGCCGGACTCATCTGGGAGGCCACACGAGGTTCCTCATCGTGTGCATTGTTTCCTCGAAAACCACGGTGTAGGCATCCTGCCGGCAGCTTGATAAATTCATGGGGTCGTCGTGGCAGTCGTGGTGGTACCAGCAGCAGCAGGAGGAGCAGCAGCAGTAGTAGCGGCAGTAGTAGCAGTGGTAGTAGTAGCAGCAGTAGTAGCGGTGGTGGTAGTAGTTAGTAGTAGTACAGCAGCAGCAGCAGCAGCAGCAGCAGCAGCAGCTGGTCTTGGAGGTGGTTTTGCTGGTGACCGCCGGTCCTGCAGCATCTGGAGGTCCTCCACTTTGCTGAAAGTTTTGGTCGCTAACCTGATCCCAGCTAACAGGTGATTTGTTAAATAATTTCGGGCTTCAGCTGTTGATGCATGGTAGCTGGGCTTCATTGGCACAGCCCTACGAACACCCAAAGCAACCGTAAACCTGAAAATAACCTTCTTGTACCCTTAACACAACGGTCATGGATCCTTGGCGCGGTCAAAGTCTACACATCATCTCACCTAATGGCTTCTTGACAGCTTCGGGCTTCAGAAGAGAAATTTTGAGGTTGCCCGATGCTCTCAAGGGCGGAATGGTGTGCACTCAGATGCCCAAAGCCGACACCCCAAACTTCACCGTCGGTGGCTTCGTCGGCCGCTAGACTTGATGGCTGAACATAAGTACACCCTTTTCAGCACCCTAAACCCTAAACCCTAAACATAAGTACACCCTTTTTTTACACATAAGTACACCCTAAACCTCAAACTATAGTATAGTTGCAACAAGGAACCCCGTACCTCCAACAGGCGAGATTCTTCCCAAATACTTTACAGTAAAAGCCAGAAAGTTGGAATATGATTATCGTAACCCCTTTAAGGTAAATTATAGGGGATCCTACCATTAACCCATATTCCAACTTTCTGGAGTTCCCTTTAAGCCCCCCCCCGACCTTGCTTGCAAGGCTAGCTGGCTGTTGCCATCCGGTGTCACTTGCTGAAGGGCATCAGGCTTGGCTTGCATCTGTCCTGGGTTTTCTAGTATTGCTAACTACATTCGGTGACCTTGTTGACTAAAGATCATTGAAGCATATTGAGCCCCCCCCCCCCCAACAAAGACGGATTTAGCAGAGGCATGCCAAGACAAGGATAGTACCTTTCATCTCAAATTCCTGCAGAATGCATGTCCCTCTCAATCTCTCTCTCTCTCTGCCGCAGGGCGACAAGTCGCAGAAAGCATCCGGCACTTTGGGAGGCTCCTTCGGTCGCATGAAACAGACGGGCATGCCTCAACAAGCTAAAGCTTGCAGGGTTCTGGTGCCAAGGTTAGCACAGTGCGGCTCAAAAGTGCTGCAGCTGCAGCCTACGGACACGAGGCACACGTCTCAAAGGAACAAGTTGCACACAGCATAGAATGAGTAGCTACAAATCCCTGCAACCAAGACTGCAGACCTGAAACTCGTACCTGCGCCAGCCGGATAGCATTATGGGTGGTGTACGATCTGAAACAGTTGTGGGTGATATCGTTGGGATTCTGTATGGAGAGTATAGGATTCTGAAGTGTTTGAACCCTTCGAAACTGTAAGAGACCGGTTCCTGGTTGGCTTTGAAAGCATCCAGAACTTCCGGCCAAGGCATCCTCAGAGATTTAGAGGCTGCCCAAGAAAAGGGAGCATGCACGCGCATGCATCTATCAACCGAGGTTAGATATGTAGGACTAGGTAGGTAGGTAGGCAGGCAGGGAAGGAGGAAGGGAGGGAGAAGGCACGTAAGTATTTACTTTCCTGGTTATACATACAAACATGAGTGATACTGCGACGCTGCTAAGAAAGCGCTTTATCATGGTGTGGATGATTTGGTCATCAGTTTCAACGTCAACTCAGTCGTGTGTCCGTGCCATCTTATTGTCAGCGTACCGAAGGCTTTGGTATACAACAGCCTTTGCAAGGCCGTGCTGATCCAGAAGCTGGGCCAAGAAACTTCTCCGACTTCAGAAGTTGTTCCACCGCTGCCTCGTCTATCAATAAGATGGACTGTCCGGCGCCACCCTTCCAGGTATGGGCTTGGCTACGGCGGTTCAGTTTCAAGGGTTTGGGGCTCGGATAAGCAGCGGATAGACAACTGTTCTGATGTGCCGAAGTTTCCCCACTCATTTTTGGCTGCTGACCAGAAGCAGCTCGACGGATACTCACTACCCGTATAGCTCTAAGCCGCAGGGGCCTGAGTCAACCCGAAAACCTGAACCCACTGTTGAAGGATATCCGAAATCAATGCTTTTTGTTGTGGATATCTCCTTGATTGTTCAAGTCTTGCGAATCTGGGCTGTGTACGTCCTTAGACTCAAGCGCAGTTCACATGCCAGCTGCTTGCAGGGACTCTGGGTTGGTCGGGTACTGTACCCAGAGGCCCCAATG